TGGTATGCTGTGGCATCAAGTGGTAGTGAAAGGTGCGTGAGCTGGCGTGGCATGGTGCTGCGTGGCACTGAGTGGCTTGGTGCTGTGCTGCATCAAGGTCTGAGCAGCACAATGCAAGTCATGTGCTGAATTGCACCTGATGATATGGCATGTCATGGAGAAGTACTGAATGGTTTGATGTAATGTGACAGCGCTGAGGGGGTAGTAGAACAAGGCAGCCAGTTTTATTGGTCAGGTGTCTGTTTTTGGTTACAGCTGTTCTAGGAGGTATGTAGTTGGAACAACGTAGCATATGTGTAATGTGCATGAATGCATGTGAAGTGTCTATCTGGCTTTTATCATGTACACTGTACAGTGCACCATGCACTCTTGTATGATATTGGCGTATATGTTGTATATAATAACCTTTGCATGTGTGCAATGTCCAATCAGTGGCACTCAGTGAGGGAAATAGTGTCATCTATATTGTATGTGTGCCTTTCTAACGTAACCAGTCTGACTTGGACGTCTATGGTGTTGCTAGGTTTCAGTCACTATGCAAGTTGAAAATTAGTATTGGCAAATGCAAGGTAGTGCACAGTGGAAGAAATAATTTGAAAAACTCATGCCCCTGACTAGGTTCTAACTAACTCTGGGAAAGGACCTGATCCTCTTGGTGGACAACTTCATGCAAACCTCTCAGCACCCAGCAGTAGAAGAGAGCAGGAGGTAGGATGCTTGAGGAAGATACTGGACATGGAGTGCTGTTATATGCATCTGTCACCTTCAGTTCTGTGACAAGGGGATGAGGCAAAAATAAGAGGCTCATAGAGGCATAAAGAAAATGATCAGAGGTGTGTATGGACTTCCACAGTGAGAGCGAAAAGAGTGGCATGGTTTACCTTGGCAAGGAGACAAAAGAAAGGATGCCTGATAGAAGTACAGAAAAGGCAATTCAGGTGAATAGAAGCAGCTGTTTTCATTATATGAGAACAAGAGCACGGTCAATGCAGTTGTTAGCCTGGCATTTGCTGCCTTTCAAAAGGAAATATCTTTTCACACACTACTTTATTAGCTCATGGGATTTAATGACATCTAGCAATGAGGCTAGGAGCTTAGCAGGGTTCCTAAAAATGGACTAGATGGTTTATATTAATATTGTAGGCATCCAGAGTTAATATAGTAAAGATGAAAAAAATATAGGTAAATACAGTTTGAGAAGGAATACACAGGGATCAAGCCAAGCACTAAGCAACAGGAAGGTAGAGAGAGATTTTTTCCCTGTGTAGAGGCTATTGCATAACAGCCTGCCACAGGGTTTCTTTCACCTTCTTCTCAAGCAGGGGTGACAGGATGTATTGCTAGCCTGATCTCGTGGGGTAGTTCCAGAGAGCACTTAGTTTGTGTGTGTGTGTGATAGTGTAATCAGTCTCGAGCAGATCTTTGGCAAGTTTGTTGGGGAAGTGTCTCCGTGTCAGATGCAAAGGTGAGTTTGTTTGTTGCCATCACAGTAAGTGATGCACTGCTTCCTCATTCAGAGTTTCCAACTGGGTAGGTTGGGGAGAAGATGTTACTTTGCATTCTCTCCTCAGGTCTCTGAATGGCTTTTTGAGTCCTGAGTAAATTGCGGGCTTGTGGGGTTGTTTTTTTGAGCAGCCAAAAGGGTGTTGCTATTACAACTCGCTTTGTTTTTTATTGATAAGCTTGTTTGAGCCGCCACAAGCGATGTGACTGTGGTTTCTTGGCACTGGTGTATGGTGCTAGTTGTTGGAATTTGCTGATTTGGCACAATCATAATATCCTGCAGAGATGGTTTAACTTTGCCAAAGTTCCACCCACACTTACTTTGGAAGCTTGCCTGGTTCCTTGGTGTACCTAGCACACTACTGGGGCGCCTGAGTTTCTGGGCTCCCTGGCTTTAGGGCAGCTCCTAAAGTCAACTCACTTGGGGCTGGAATTCCATTCTTCTTGGAAAATTTGAGCATTGTTAGTTTTTGTTCCTAATTGGAATGAAGCCAGATTTTAAAATACTGAAATTCTTGTGCTGAGTAGAATTGCCTTTCTCTCCTGGAGAGTAGGGGGTTCTTTTGGGAACTTATCCTCTTGTTTAATTGGTTTATCTTTGCTGTGACAAATGGAAATAGGCCCCTTCACCCATGTGTTCCCCTCAGGAGTGGGGACCATTTCTATTTTCAGCTGTTCAGCCCTTTTTGCTAGTAGCAGAAGTGGCTCATAGGAGAAGAAAATTGTGTTTGGGCTTTTTGTTGTTATTTGGTAGCAGCTGAGCCTGGTGGGTTAAGTACTGTATAAACAAGTGCAGGAAGAGACAGCACCCGCTCTGAAAACCTTACAATAAACCAAAGCAGCAAAGGAGAGCATATCCCCATTTTATGGATGAGGAGCAGACAGAGTAAAGGGACTCGCCCAAGGAATCTATCTGAGTAGGGAATTGAATCCAGGGGTCCTGAGTCCCTATCCAGTGCCTTAACCACCAGACTAGCTTTGCCATGGTTGCCCAGTGAAGTCTGATGGTCCAGGCATTGCAGATCTTTCAGCATATTTGTCAGTGTCAAAGTCATTTGCTGTGGCTGCTCCTCAAATCTTTCAAGCCTTTAAGATGAGACAGAAGAGTGTGCTGTAGGAGCAGTTTTGTGCAGGGGGAGGTGGGTAACGTGACCTACTGGTGTTAGATGTTTGCTCACCTGCCTGTGACTTTTATTCAAAAAGCAAAATGTAAACACTTCATTTCCATTCTCCACCTCCCTTCTGGCTATCTTGATGTTGTGGGACTATAAATTTCCAATATTTTTCTCTGCTCCAAGTTTATAGGTTGGGCTCCCCACCTATGAGCTACGTTGCACCATCTCAGCCAGAAGTTGTGTTTAATCTCCCTATAATAGAAACTTCCTTATTCACTTGACACCTACTAGCTGCTCTTGCAGTCAAGACGGTACATGGAATTGCACATGTGGGTTTTAGGGGTTGGACCCTCTCTGCCCTTTCAGGGCTGTGTTGACTACACTCCATCAGCGTCCTGAAGGCCTGGCTGTTCTGGGGAGCAGTATTCTGCTGCTTGTGGCTTAATGTGTTGTCTTGCCCCTCTGTCTTTTTTTGTCTGAAGTGTTACATACATCCCAGCCTCTTGTCTTCTCCCAGAACTCCTGGGCCTCTTCTTTCTTGGACTGGAAGTGATAGGTTCCTTTCAGGAGGATAAACCCTTCCAGAGCATTTGGGACTCTGTGAAAGGGATCTGGAACTAAATGATTTGTCTAACTGTAGTAATAAATTGGATTATCTCAAAGAGCTGTAAAATGGGACAGCAGTTGAGCCTGAGAAAATACCACTTAGAAAAACCTTTTCTTGTCATTGTCTAAAAACTGGGTGTGAGGGTTTCAGATACCTGATCTGGGGCATGTCCTGGAAGTCATTGCAGCAAGACCTCAGACAACTTGAGGAGTAAGGTGGGCATCAGTTGGGATGTGAATGGTAGCAGAACCCCAGTCTGTATTTGCTGGGATGAGGTTTCAGAGAGAGCTCCTGTCTCTAGCTGTGTCCCTCTCTATTTGAAAGCCAGTGCTTTGTCCGCTGGGGTTTTCTGTTTGTTACCATGCAAATGAAATGTCTGAGAAGACAACAGAGCAACCTGTGTCCAGGGACAGTGCGCGTTGTGTAGTGAGCAGGCTGGGAACCTCTTTGCAGCTGGGTGTGATGATGCCTTTGTAACCCCTGAGAGGAATCATTTACAGGAAACTTGAAGGGGAGATAACAACTAACACGTTCTGCCTGCAGCATCCAGTATTCTCTAGATGATGGCTAGATTTCTATCGCCTTAACCTCTCTGTCCACTCAGGTCCGTCATTGAGTAGGGACCGCAATAATTTTGTTATTTATTTGTCTTCCTGGAGCAGCAAGGAACCTAGCAGCACCTAAAAACTCAGTCGGCAGGAGGTGCTGTACAATGGGGCGGGGTGCATCTGAGAGCACAAATTGATGACAGCATTGTCTCACCTTCCTGTTTCCAAGCTGAAGAGATCTCTCTTCCCATGCTGTTCCTGGAGTATCCCTTGGGGGATTGGTGGCAAAGGGGCAGTGTGCCCATTTTAGGAATGAAGAGAGCATTTCTGTGTGTTATTTAGAGCTGCAGCCAAGGTTTCAGAACGTGGGGGCTATAAACAGCATCCTAGAGACTGACTTCCAGCAGCCCATTTATTTTCTCATGGGGGATTTAAAAAAAACAAACTACAGGAAGCTGCTGAGTTAACTGCTTCAGAGTGTGCAGCTGTTTTTTTTTTTATCTCCAGAGCAGGCACAGCAGCAGCAGAAGCAGAAGCCCTATGCACCCTGTGTGCTAGCCAGCGTACCTTAGATGGCCTTGGAAATACTCTTTCCTATGATAGGAGGTAGGAGGTTGCAGTTTCCATAGCTTGTCTGGATAGTTGGTGCTTTTGTAGCCACTTGCTCTACTAGAAACTGGATGGAGCACCTTTCCCTCCTACACACTTGGTTTCACTCGGGGAAGTCAGCTGGCCATCCAGCTGGCCATCCAACGGCAGTGGCTTGGCAGTGGAATTTGAGGCGGGGATTTTCAAATTTGGCTGCATACGTTTATTCACTTAAATTTCCGTTTTGGCAGGTGTGTCAGAGTGCTACAATTAGGTGTCAACACTTGCAAATGTTAGACTTACTGCTCTTTCTTTCCCAAATGTTCCCTCACCAGCATACACATCCTCTGGGTATAGGATGCATTAATGCCACTGAAGTCTGCTGCGGAGGAGGCATTAGAATCCCTGTGGAATATGTCATGGTTTGGATGGGTGTCTGCCAGCTTGAAAAGCAGTGTGTGTGACTTCCCAGAGACTTGCAGCCTCGCGTGGTCTGTTTGTGTGCTGTGTGTCAGGGAAGATTTAAACCACTCCTAGCCACTTGGATGATAGAAGTAGCCCTGGGAGGGATGTGTTGGATTGGGGGTTTTAATTGAATGTTTCCCTCTGGTTGGCTGAGCTGTGAGAATAGGTTCTTCCTTCAAGAGCTGCTTTCTGTTTTTGAACTTCCAAACTTTGTCTTTATTTAAAACACGACATCCTAAAATGAGAGATGACCTGGGTGACTGACTAATTCTATGTGACGTGGCCCCTCATAGGCTTATTTCATTTGAAATGGAAAGACCACCTCTTCAGGAGTCCTGGCACTTTGAGATGTCCATTTCTGCTGTTAGAAATTTGAGCCTGTTTGTTATGCAGTAGGATGTGTGTATTGTTTTTGGTGAAGTAGGAGAAGTGAGAGAGAAGAAATGTGACAGTACTGTTGTTCCTGGGACTTACCAAGAGGATATGCCTTGCTTCTTGCTGTCCCTGAGAACAAATAACTGAAATGCCAAATAGCAACAAGAAGAAAGCTGTGAGATCCACAATAACATTTCTTGTTGTGTGCTAACATAAGGGCGGTTGAATTTATGTCTAGGTGTTTCTGTAGTGTCTATTACTGTAGTACTTATACACCCAGGAATCTCATGCTGTGGAAGTCAGTCACTTGCTCATGCTTCCCTCAGGCTGCAGTGGTGCATGTTTGACTGGTAGCATAACGGATGTGCTTGGCTTGTTCTGAAATCTGAGAAGCTTGGTCTGTTTGGTAAACTTATGATTATGTGGGGTTTGACAGACCCTGTGCAGTGGTTGGGGAAAATGCACGTTAACACCAGTGGGTGGCATCCTGTTGAGCCATTTCACTTTTGATAGCTCATAGGGCATGCTGTGTGATTTGATCATTTTTTATAACCTCCCTCCCTATCCAAGTGTCTTCATATCCTTCCCTTTGAGACACAAAAGCAAGCTTTGTGCAGTGGAGTGAAAATGCAAGTGAATAGGAATAGGTTTGTGTCACATCTTTGCTTCTGAGACTTTTGGAAAACTGCATGCAAGCTTCCTCTGTCATGTTTGAAAGGAGCATTTCCGAGGTGCCGCCCTCCTTGAGTGTAGCTTCCTCACTCACTGTCATGGAGCCTTGGCTTTGTTATCTCTTGGGGCCCCTTCCCTTTGCAGGAAGAGGCTCGGCACCAGACTGAAGTGCATATATGGGCTGGGACCGGCTGGGATATGGGAATGGACACACCTCATGACAAAAGCATGTTTGATCCTGTTTTCAAAGGAAGGTCTGGGAGCTCTAGGGACACCCTTCCTTGTTTCCTACCTTCTGCAAAATGGGCTGGCTGTGGGATGCTGACCTATTCTAATATGGGTCAGTCCACCAAAAAAAGGCAAGGAGGGAGAGCCAGAGAAAGACAACAGAAATTAATAGAGCAGAAAAAAACCCTCTGTGGGAGGAGGAGGGGGCAGTTCGGAGTAAAAGGGTTTTATTGTTCATCCTGGGTTTCTGAAGTTGGGAGGGTGGCATTAGTGGCAGCTCTTTTATCAGGGTGACTTTGTATTCATTATTAAAGGCATGGGGGAGATTAATAGCAGAAGGGATAGTTGGGATGTGACCAACTGGAGGGGCAGAAGGGGGGACTCCACAGTGTGCAGTGGGGGAGGGAGGATTCCTTTGTGTCTTCAGAGTTTAATTGCAGTCGGGGAAGGGAATTGTGGTGCTGTACTGAAGGTTAAATAGTTCACATAGGTTGCCTTCTATTTATTTGAAAAGTTGCAGGACCGTCCTTTGAATATACACTTGGAGGGAATATGAAACTGCCTAAAGTTAAGCAATGATACAGCTGTTGTTCAGTCCTCTACCCTCTCTGCTGAGGTTAGTGCTTTTCCCTTTACAGAGAAGATATTTGTATTCCAATCATTGTTCTGACAGATTAACATTTTTCTGTCTTGCATTTTACTCCTCATACTGACTGCTGCTTAGAAAAGAAATCATGATTGGACAGCATCTCTTGAGTACTCGGTCTCGTCACTCTTTCAGAGCGATTACCCTGTGAGGAGCCACATTTGGATCTCAGATTGCTATGCAGATAGTTATGTAGCTCCTGTCAACTAATTATTTAGCTAGGCTTTCTTGTGTGTCCAGCTAGCCAGGCCTGGCAGAGAATAATTAAAACTAGTAATAAGTTTGAAACTTTTTTTGAGGTTGCTGCTGTCAATAGGCTGTCTTCATTAGAAGTGTGTGTGCAACTTGTCTGTACTAAAGCATCCTGTTGCTGCTAACTTTGTTTTCCCTGCCTTCCTCTCTCCCAGTTTGTCTGTTTGATTGAGCAGCTACGATCACTGTTTCGGACTGTAAGCTCTTTAGTTTGGTAACTATTATTTACTGTGTGTATGACGGAGCCCTGATCACAGTTGGTGACCCTAACCACTATTGTGGTGACTTCATAGATTTCATAGACATTAGGGGCTGGAGGGGACCTCATGAGATCATCAAGTTCAGCCCCCCCTGCCATAGGCAGGAAGTCAGTTGTGATCAAGTGATCTCAGCAAGAAAAATATCCAGACGTTTTTTAAAAGAGTCCAGAGTAGGTGCTTGCACCACCTCTGGGGGAGTCTGTTCTAGACCCTGGACACACACACTGTAAAGAACTTTTTTCTTATGTCTAGTCTAAATCAGCCTTCCTGGAGTTTATGGCCGCTAGACCTTGTTATCCTTTGGGGAGCTCTGGTGAACAGCTGTTCTCCCAGGTCCTGATGTACCCCTCTTATGTAATTGTAGGCTGCAACCATGTCACCCCTGAGCCTTTTCTTTTCCAGACTGAAGAGTCCCAAATCCCTCAGTCTCTCCTTGTACAGCCTGCTCTCCAGGCATTGGATCATATGAGTGTCTCTCCTCTAGATTCTCTCAAGCTTTTCCACATCCCTTCTGAAGTGGGGGGTCCAAAACTGGATGCAGTACTCCAGCTGCGGCCTCACCAATGCCGAGTAAAGTGGGAGGATGACATCTTTGGTTTTGCTTGAGATGCATCAGTAGATGCACACCAGAGTTTGGTTTGCTTTGCTTTGCCAGCTGTGGCATTGCATTGGTGGCTCATATTCATCTTGTGGTCAGTCATGATCCCCAAGTTTCTTTCGGTCGTGGTGCAAGTGAGTGTAGCACTGCCGACCCTATAGATATGATGTGGGTTCTTTCTCCCGAGGTGGAGCACCTTGCATTTCTGTATGTTGAATGTCATCAGGTTTTGATCCGTTCAGCTTGCAAGCCTGTCCAGGTCGGCCTGAATCCCCAGCCTATTGTCTAGAATGACCGCGCTTTTCCATAATTTGGTGTCATCTGCGAACTTAGCCAGTTTGCTTCTGACACCTGAATTCAGATCGTTTATGAATATATTAAAGAGTACTGGTCTGAGAACTAAACCCTGGGGGATGCCACCGGTCACCATGCACCATGTTCATCAGTAAGCACTCTGGGTCTGACCACGGAGCCAGTTCCCTAGCCATTGGATTGTAAGGTTGTCCATAATAAGGAGTCTCTCTGATAGTTTTGTGGGTTTTTTTTAAATGTGAAATTTTTGAAGTTCAAATTCATAGATTCATAGATGTTAGGGTCGGAAGGGACCTCTATAGATCATCGAGTCCGACCCCCTGCATGAAAGAGGGCTGGGTCTAGATGACCCCAGCTAGATACTCATCTAACCTCCTCTTGAAGACCCCCAGGGTAGGGGAGAGCACCACCTCCCTTGGGAGCCCGTTCCAGACCCTGGCCACTCTAACTGTGAAGAAGTTCTTCCTAATGTCCAGTCTAAATCTGCTCTCTGCTAGCTTGTGGCCATTATTTCTTGTAACCCCCGGGGGCGCCTTGGTGAATAAATACTCACCAATTCCCTTCTGTGCCCCCGTGATGAACTTATAGGCAGCCACAAGGTCGCCTCGCAACCTTCTCTTGCGGAGGCTGAATAGATCCAGTTTCTCTAGTCTCTCCTCGTTGGGCTTGGTCTGAAGGCCCTTAACCATACGAGTGGCCCTTCTCTGAACCCTCTCCAGGTTATCCGCATCCCTCTTGAAGTGCGGCGCCCAGAATTGCACGCAGTACTCCAACTGCGGTCTGACCAGCGCCCGATAGAGGAGAAGTATCACCTCCTTGGACCTATGTTGAAGACTTTTTCAGAAATGGAAGTGGGTTTGTATGACCCTCCAGAAAGCTATAAAACTGGTTTCTAGTGGGAGAGAGATTTCATTTTTTTTTTTTTTTTTTAATTTTAATAGATGGGAAAAATTCAGACTTGAAGCTGGTTTCTTATGAAGGACGGATTTTTTCTCTTTGGCATTTGACCAGTATACGTTTAGGGAGAAATTCCCCATGGAGGAAATGAAGGATGAGAAGGAAACATTTCTGGGTCAGTTGAAAGAAAATTAAATACAATGGTGATTTGAAGTTGCTCATGAATCTAGTACAGGGGTACTTAACCTCCGGTCTGTACAGCCATGGCATCTGGCCCATGGGATCTCCAAAGGTTGGAAATTTGGCACTGGTGGAACAGTGGAAGCTCAGTGCAGGTGGATCCAGCCTTGCTCAGGCCATTGCCAGACAGCAGGATGAGGGCTGGGCCCGCCCCCCATACATCTGGATTAGGCTGGGCCGCTCCTTCCCTCCACCCCTTCTCCCAGGTGTCCTGATCTGGGCTGCTCTGGCCCCTCCCCTGCCCCCCAGTGTTTCTGGGTAGGAACCAGGCTGCTCCCCGCTTCCATCCCTGGCAGCTGGATTGAGGACAGGCTGTGCACCTCACCCCTCCCCTGTGGCTGCATTGGGCACCTGCTGCACTGGCCTGCATACCACATTGAGCCCATCAGCCAGATCTAGCCGCCTGTCTGGCCTGTGGGGTGAAGAGGTTTGGGCACCATTGGTCTAGCCTGTAAAAGGAAGGTTTGGAGGAATGAATCGGTAGCAGAGAGCCAGTGAGCCAGAAGCTTCCTGTAGTAGCCATTTAGCTCAGTTGATTAGAGTGTGGTGCTAATAATACCAGGGTTGCAGGTTTCATCCCTGGTTGGACAAGAGGTTCCTTCCAGCCTCACTTCTCTACAAAAGTGCAGAAGGGCTGCAGATTATTACCCATGTACACACCTGGGAATCTCTGTCCTCGTGGGACTTCCAAAATAAGATTGGTAAGGTGGGGATGTCATACCCCCTTTGGCAGAAAGAGGTGTGGGTTTTGATCACTTTTCACGTGATACCTTTGCATATCATTCCTGCCTCTCTGAAGCAGGTTGGGGATGAAATGCTTTAACTGCAGTGGGGGATGAAACTGATAGCCTGATAACCTCCCATAGTGATTTCATACATTTTAAATGTACAGATTTCACGTGTAGGGCACTGAGGCTAATCCATGCCTGTGAGCTTCTGCTGACCTGTAGGCAGAAATGGTCTGAGAATCAATGCCTCTTCCTTTTCCACTGGTTTTGCTAGACTGTTGCATGAGAGGCAGGCTTTATGTAATGAATGCAGGGTATGCACACAATGTTCACCATTTATAAAAATGTTTCTCCAGTGGTAGTGACTCTTTCCATATGTCGACTCTGGCAAAAAATGAAGGCTATTTTGTTAAGCTTGCCCCAAATCCCTTCCAGTTATGTATTTTGGATTCTGAATTTGTTTTGATGAAAGACATTGGCTTGACAGTTTTGAAGACCAAAGATCTCTGCTTGCAAAAGAGATGCAAGAATGATGGTGGCAGAGTGTAACCACCGTCAGGAAGTGGCATATATTTACGCTGCTGTTGCTGCTGCAAATACAGCCTGGGTAGACATACTCCAGCTTGTTTTAAACTAGCTAGTTTGGATATGGCTAGTAGTATAGCCACAGTACCATGGAAACTTGGTACAGGTTATGAATCCTAAGTAAATCTTCACATGATAAGCCCACACTGAACTCCGTGAAGTCACAGGTATAATGATAGCAGCACCCGTGCTTGGGCATGTCTACACTGCAGTGACTCCTGTAGACATACAGGTGATCCTTGCCATTTGCGGGGGATCTGTTCTAGAGATCTCTGCGAATGGCGAAATCCACGAATACAGCACTGCATTCATGAAACGTCATGAATGCAGTGCCACTGGTGGCTGAGCGGGGATCACAGCTGTCCTGGCAGCGGTGGGTGCCCGATGGCAGTGGTGGGAACCCAGCAGTGGCAGCGGGAGCCCAGTGGCAGCAAGCACAGAGATCCCAAGAAGCTCCTGTAAGTGTAATTAAAATGTGAATTCGGCGTTCGCGAATATTTGAAACCGCAAATGCTGAACCCATGAATAGTAAGGGTTTTCTGTATGCCCAGTGTGTCCCCAGCCTGACCTGAATGGACTAACCCTGTAATTGAGAAGGGCATTGAGCCATTTGGCTTCCAGTCTGTGCTCAGTCCGTCATTAGGAGGGCTTTTTAGTGCCAGTAGTATGGCACTGAAAAAAAGGTGCTATTAAGATAAGGATAGCTATCCTGATGTAAAATCATAATGGATATAAGGCGTTGTAATTTTTTGTCTATTTTTAGCGAAAGGGGTTCAACATTACTCCCCCAGCGGGGGTTGCACTTAACTAGGTGTGACTGGGGTAAAAACTACAGTGCCTGGTCTCTGTCATGATTTTACATCAAGGCCGATGTCTCAGCATAAATAGCATCTTCTTGTTTTTTGCAGATGGCATAGCCTGATAACCTCCCATAGTGATTTCCCACAGATCTGTTGCAGGATAATTTCAAGCCTCAACAAGCTTGATTTGCATTTAAACCCATGCCGTGGAGGTGAAGTGACTCCTGACCTGTAGTAAACAGCACTTGTAATTGTATTCAGAGAGAAACACTTGACTCCAATCCCCCCCCCCCAAAAGTCCTTATTTTATTTTATTTTATTTTATTTTATTTTGCTTTTGATAATCCCAGCCTGGGATCTGGTAAGAATGTATTTATCTGTGAGCGCACTTGTTTGTGTGCCCAATGTGGTCTACCTGCCCAGATGAATTTCAGCTAAAGAAATGGGATTTCTCCTTGTCCCGAGCCATGCATTTTTCTCCTCCCCCTCTTTCATGGGAGTGTAGTTGTGTATTGAGGTTAAGGAAGAATTTTAAAGGGAAATTTCGGGAGTAGAAATACTGAAGAGGAAAAAAATTAGGAAAGAATTCCAGAAGGTGAGACAGGATCACCTTTGCCCTTCCTCACCCCTGTGTCTGATTCCAAAGTGGTGGAGTTGGAGAGATGGGTGGAAAAGGGAAGACAAGATTGGAAGAGCAGAATAAGCAAGCAGGCTCAGGGAGTCATTCCATAAGATACCATTACATTTCATTGTAGTTTTTGAATTATTATTAATTAATTGCATTATCTTAATGTCTCAGCATCAAAGTCGTGGAATGGTCCCCTGCTCTGCTAGACGTTGTGCCAAATGCCAAACAAAAAGATGACGGTCCCTGCCTTAAAGAGCTTACAGGCAAGATGGGACTACAGTTAGGGGGAAAGGAGGAAATGAGGAGATATTATTGCTCAGGGTGACACAGTTGTCTCAGTGTACCGGCAGCCCAGCCACTCTCACATCATGATAGAAGGAAGCAGGACGTTGGCTGCTATGCTTCCCCTGGTTTACCTGTGGCAGGTTAGGGTATTAGGTCTTTGTTGTGTCAGGGTTGAGAGTAGTCTTATGTAAAGTTTAGATTATAATTTGTGTGAGATGGGATGATCCTGCCTCAGGCACAAGGTTGGACTAGATGATTTCCAGAGGTCCCTTCCAGCCCTGCTTCTCTTATGATTCTATGAAAGAGGATTTGGAGGAGAACACTTAGATCAGGGGTGGGCAAAATGCGGCCCGCCAGGCCATTCTATCCGGCCCGTGGGGCCCCTAAAAAATTTAGAAAATTAATATTAATCTGCCCTGGGCTGCCTGTCATGCGACCCTCCATGGCTTGCCAAAACTCAGTAGGCAGCCCTCCGCCCAAAATCATTGCCCACCCCTGACTTAGATGATGGCTTTGCAGATACAGGAATTCCTTCTTAGAAGGAGGGACAACAGCAGAGAAAACATGAAGGTGCCTGTTTGAAAGCATAACAAGTGGGAAATGATGATTGGTATCACAGGCTGATGGGGGGGGTCAACCTCCCAGCAGTGTATAAGAAATTACAGGTGAGAGGAGGTAGCTCATAAAGGACCTTGATGGCAAAGATGAGTAGTTTACCTCTGAGATGATGGAGAAGAGGCACCAGTTACACTATTGCCTCCTATTTCTCATAATATGGTACAATACACATTTTTGTCAGAACCCAAGAGCACCTGCTTTTTACATTTTTTTTTTTTTCATTCCTTCTATTTCCCAAAATGGTCCTATATAAAAATGGACAGGATAACTTTTCTCAAAGGTAAGAATAATTTTGCAGGATCCATGCATTCTGTGTTTTCCTTCTCAACTAGTCATATAGCCTTCTTTCAGTGGTTTTCAGTAGAGAGGAAGTTAACTATGAAGCTAATATCTGTAGATTTTGGTGATTTAAATCTATCAACATTTTGCTACTATGTAACCCGCAATCTGTTTGTCACTAAAAAAATGTGTGCTTTCATACAAATGGCTTTCCCAAGCTCAGTACTCTAAAATGGTACTGGTGTTTTTAAGGTTGTAGGCATAATAAATGTAGGCATAATAAGTGTTATATTTGAGAAATAGTATATAATCATGTGATTGCAGATGTTACATAATCACAAGAGGGCAGTATTTGTGCAACCTCAACTTTAGCATTGTCCTGACTTTTTGGGTGTTTATACAGTGTTTATATTATGTTAGTAGGTTTTTTCTCACCATTGAATTGACTAGATGTGGGGTTTTTTTTCATTTACCAAAAGGGAAAAAAAAGAGAAACAATCATAGGCATTTCACTTTGAAAGCCTTTTGAGTCTTGGCTGACTTGCAGATTGTTGTCTACAAAGTTTGGTGAGGTAATAGTGAAACTCTCCATCCTATTCCAGCCTGCCACTTGAAGGCCCTGGAAGAGAGCCACCTGTTTATGAATCTTAGGCACTCAAACCCGAAATAGGTATCTCCAAATGAAATGGATCAGTTGTGCCACAATGTGTCTTGTGGCACACAGCTGATCCACTTAATTGGGCAAAACGCATATCTCCCCTTGTCTTGCTTTTCATAGTGCGGGACAAGCGGGGAATATGATCTCCCCACTTCCCCTGCCCAGCCAGACCTGGGCTATGGGTCTGAGTGGGGAAAAGCCCTACCTTGCTTCTTCATGATCATGGGGATGATTATGGCTGAACATGGAACCCCAACTTCCCCACTAATGGAGAGGCACCCTGAAATTCCCCAGGGTGCCTCTCTCTAAGTGGGGAAAGTGGGCAGGTGCTCGGGGGCCTTGAGGGCCCCCAAGTCCCCAGAGCACTTGCTCAGTGTGACAGAGAAGGGCAAGCAGCTCAGGCTTCCTGTACTCTTCCACCAGAGAAGTAACAGATGTCCACTGCAATAAAGTGGCAGAGTCTATGACCACCTTTTGTTGTACCACTGATTTTCCTTTCACATTGCACAACAAAGGGTATCAACATCCATAAAACAGCTTATGCTGGCACAAATGCGACATCAGGTAGCATCTGTTTCTAACCTGTAGCTTGGAAAGCTCATCTGCAGAGCTCCCAAGGTGCCTGCATGTACAGCATGCAGTATCATGACCTGACTGCTAGCCTTTTCACTCTAGCACAAGGTGAACTATGGCTATACCTGCTGTGAAGTATGTTAGATGTGCGCTTTCTAAGTTTATTGGGAATGTCTGCTATTTGTCACTGTTGGCTTTTCAGAGGCTTAGAACCCTATCAAATAGAAACTAGTTTCTTCCATAGCCAGCAAAGGCCTTGTCATTCAGTGAGGATAGCTTCCATCCATTTTTTAGCTTTCAGCTCTTGGCTGTTTCCTACAGAAGGTTGTCTTTTGTGGTGTGATGATTACTTATTTTTCCCCATTCCCAAGAAACAAAAATGTTTCTTTGTGAATATTTTGCTTAACATTCATGACTCTGTTCCTCAAACATTTGGAGGAAAAATCATGTCTAATCAGAGGCCATGCTTGGAAAATTTCAGCCCAAAGGGGGAATATTTCAGAAAAAGTAGATGGTCTAGAAAAGAAGTGAAGGCTGGGAAATCCTGATAACAGCTCTTAACTGTAAAGCATCTCTGTTTCTCCCTCTAAAATAAAAGAATGAACCTGCTAAAATGAACCCAGCTGCTTCCCCAACTTACCTTTGTTTTCCTCTTCTTTGTAACATAAGAAGAAAGGAGATAGAAGAATTTCTGTAGGCAGTATCAGGAATAGTATGGGTCACCTATACAAAGTGATGATCTGGATGTGGGGGCATATGTTTTAGAGCAGGTGCATAAATGTTAAGCTCCCAAGAGTCTGCGTTTACTTAGTTAGTTTATGTGGGTAATTGGCTGATTTCTGTTTCTGTAACTTGCTGGTTGGAGCCCCTGGGTTTTCATTCTGGAGATGTGAATTCTAGCCCTGACCCTGCCACTGACTGGTTGGGTGATACTGGCCATATTGCTTCACTTTTCCATGCCTTAGTTTCCACATCTCTGAAATGGGAGTGATGATGATCATCTCCTTTTGCAGTTTAATTTTGAGCTGTCTTGAGAGTACTGTGTAGGGAGAAGGGACTGCCTGCTGGAAGAGGGAGAAGACTCTCTTGCCTTTCTCCCTACATGTGCCTCACCATGCTGTGTGTCCTAGTTTCACACTGTAACTTTGTCACTGCAAGAACTGGTGATGGTAACTAAGGAAAAATGTTTACTCCATGGAGGTGGTACCAAAGCAGTTTCCCCCATATGGTACTAAAAGGTGTTGGGCTGCTTATAGTGCTGTTGTTCAAATGAGATGTAAAACTAATGTTCTGACTGTTTAGAATATAGAGGAGTAGGAGAAGCTTCTCCAAAGAGTAGAATTGCCAATTCTGGTGACAGGTTGAAACACAGCCAGGACTAATTTAAGTTCAGCCTACCTAAATTCCCTTGGCATTTCAATTGGATGCAGTGTTCTTCATTTCCTGTCCTGAAGTATGTTACTGGAGGAGAAGCATGGGGTTGCGGGGTGGAAGTGGTTATTTGTACTACCACCAAATGGGTGCTGCATTTCATCCTAGGGTGTCTGTATTTCACAGACAGGCAAGTGATCCCTACATAGCCCCTACTTACTGTATTTCCTAGGCTACCATAAGGTTTCACTCAGCCTTTTTTGTGCAGCACTCCAGGATCACATGTTAGAAATGCAAAAAGTTATCATGATATTTTGAGTCCATTCAGCTAAGCATAATCCCTTCTGTTTCTCCTTTGGCTTTAACAGGTCTCTTCTCAGAAGTGGCTTTATAGAAACTCCAAGTGGAAATTCTTCTGAGAAGGCACGATGATAGTGGTGACTGGAGTCATGTCAGCCCCTGAACTGGGGTCCAGTGCCACCACTCCAGCTGCGGCTCCCAACTTCTCTTGGATGCCGAATGATGGCAGCCCCACAGCAGTGGAGCAACCGATATTTCTAATGACTACAGCTGCTCAGGCCATCTCAGGTTTCTTTGTATGGACAGCTTTGCTCATCACCTGCCATCAGGTAAAAATCCTATGGCATTTGGCCCCTGTTATTCCCTCTTCCTTCCTCTCATCCATGCTTCCTAAACCAGACGAGTGCATGTGGCATGATGTTCAGTTCCAGTTTTGAGTGTCTCTGTTTGCAGTGGGAGGAGGGGGTGAAGGTACTCTGGTGCTGGAGTGGTGCCAGAGAGCTGCATTTTTTGAGTTAAGTCATTCTTTCTAGTTGAGTCATGGGCTCACCTTAAGGTGTTTTAACCCCTTCCCTTTGAGGAGTCATAAATGGAAGTAAAATAGCTTCTTACCTGTTTTGTGAAGATTAAAGTCCAGTCCACTCTGCAGGGTTTTGCCTGCAGAACTCTTGTGCCACTAGCAAACTTGCGGAGCTGCATGGTGAAAGCAAATCTGTGGTGGCAGAACCCAGAGAGTTGCACCATGTTTGCTGAGTGGAGCAAGATTTCTGCAACTACCTGGCAGCCGGCAGAAGACAACAGTAAATGCTCCAGGATCTCCAAACAGCTGCTGCAGTCACTTCAGCAGCCAGTGCCTTCCCAGGGTACAGTTCACACTTGGGCAGCCCAGCTACTGAGTCTGCAGGAAGTGAATGTGCTCTGGCGACTTGGCAACAGCAGCAGCTCTGTTGGTGGAAGCTCTGGTGTCAGAGGCAGATAGGTTTAGGTATAGCCTAATATGAGTGGGGAAGGTGGTGAAGAAAGCATTAGCCTGCGACTCAGAGGAGGCAACTGATGCTTAGTGCTACATGAATTCTGCAGTAAGGGATTTGGTAGAAGGAAAGTATGTAAGTGGTGCAGGTATCCTCATCAGGCTACTTGAAGATCAGCTCTGCTCCTAAAGGATATGATGATGTGACGCACTGGGGTGACAAGGCTTCTGGATTACTAGCGGATACTTGAGAACTCTGCTGCCCTGGGGGAAGCACTCTTTCTGTGCATGGAGAAGAGAAAGGCATACCTCTTAGGTCTAGGTCATCCTGGGTCTTCTGTGGTGGAGAGGACTGAGTCCTAAGCTGATAACCAAAAAGCTGGTGGTTCAAACCTGTTTGTGGGCAACTAGTGTTAAGTCTCAATTTTAATATTAAGTCTCAATTTCTGGCCCTGGCTGGGTTCAAATTTTGGAAAGAGGATGAAGCTAGACTGTTCTCAGTGGTGGCAGGTGACATAACAGGGAGCAATGGTCTCAAGTTGCAGCAAGGGAAGTTTAAGCTCATTTTTAGGTTAGGTATTAGGAAGAACTTTCTCACTAGAAGGGCAGTAAAACCCTGGAACAGGTTACCCAGAGAGGTGGTGGAAGCTCCATCCTTAGAGGTTTTCAAAACCTGGCTAGACAAAGCTTTGACTGGGATGATCTAGTTGGTGTTGGTCCTGCTTTGAGCAAGGGGGTTGGACTAGATGACTTCCTGAGGTTCCTTCCAACCCTAACTTTCTATGATTGGCAGATTGTAGTACCATTGTGTGCAAAATGTTCCAGTAGTTGGGTAGCTGCATGTGTCATGTCTCATCTTCCCTCCACTCTTCAAGACTATAAGGAGCAAGCTTGACATGCAGTGAGCCCTGGGGGAGGGATATGTGAAGAAAGGGAGATCCTTGTTAAGGATGTGGAAGACTGAAGCACTTTTCCTGCCTGTTTGCCTGAAGAAGGGTGACTGTGCCCAAAAGCTGGCTAAGAACTTTTTTTCCAATTACTCAGTTGGTCTAATAAAAGATATCACATCTACTCAAAAAGCCTCATTAGCAGAGGCACATGAGAATTGCTATGCTAGGTCTGCTTATTCCAGTAGCATGTCTTCAGCAGTGATCAAGGCCTGTTGTTGCAGTTCCTGGGCTAGATGCATCTCTGTTATTTTCCTTGTCTCTTTGGATGCATTCCTTCGGCTGTCAGGCCTTGTGTCCTGACCTCTTCCAGCGTGCAGTTCTGCAGTTCTCCCATTTCTGGGCCAGGCCATGAGCTCCAGTAAGTACCCTGTGGTTTAAACTTGCTTATCCAGCAGGTAGAACAGAGTTCAGGAACAAGTCATTATTCCTTTTGGTGGGTGTGGCTAGTGCTGTGCATTGACCAGACGGCCTTTTGAAACCAGAAGCAGTTGCCAACAGCAAGAAAACAGCATTTGGAGAGGCGATTTTAAAATAGCCTCCACTCGCGTCTATCTCACCTAAGTCTTACTTTTCCCCTGTAGTAACCTAGGAAGGCCCAACTTCTGACATTCCCTAGGAGGATGCTGGGTGGTTCTTCTCAGCAGTTACTCTCTTCTCTTGAGATAAATATGCTTTTATAGCCTGCCAGACTTTTGGTTACTTGGTTACCTGTGTTTGCAGGCATTTTCCTGTGTTTGATTCTTCAGGTCAACCAGAGAGGAAGCAATATCTTAAGGTTTATAGTCCTGGTATGGTCCCTCAACAAGTGTCAAATGTTTGTGGATAGTTAGCATATCTTGATCCATTCTCCCCCATCTAACCTCGTTTTCCCAGCAACCCTGAGTTCTATTGGACCAATATAGTCACAGCAAACAGTCCTATAACCAGGCCAATGTACTTTCCTTTAGGGCATCTCCAAATTCATCATACCTGATCTTTAGAGGAATATGAGTACCCCTTCCCTACAGCAAAGCATTTGACCATTTGAGTACTGCTGTAAATTGAGGTGTGGGCAGGGAGACGGAAGGAGACGTGAAGGTGCTGATATTGTGCCGTAATTTATGACGCTTAATTACTCTCTTGCTGTATCTTGCTGTTTTGTAGCTGCGTCAGCTATTAGTTCATCAGATGATCAGCCACGTATCGTTTTAAATCCAGTGCATGGTGCTTGCTTTGATCTCTCCTGCCAGTAATAAGCCAAATTCCACTGTGGAAAGGAGTAGCAGGAAATGTCTGCTTCCCTTCCCCCTTTGCCCCTTTTTCTAGGGCAGGTGCTCTGGGTGCCAGTACAAGTCAAATCCAACATCCTGTTCTGTACATAGCCATCACGTGCATTGGAATACATGGTGGGAAGTGTAAGCCCTATTATTTATCAACCTGTGTTTTGTACCTAGGGGTTCATGAATTCCATAGTGGTGACTGCAAGCTGTCCATTGCAGAGCAGGACAGTCTGGTGAGGTGCAAAAACAGATTAGTCACCAGCAATACCTGCAGGGTGAATAAGAGCAACAGCCACAGGGGGAACAATTAAAGTGGTATTGATACTACTGATTCAGAGCACAGATGGATCACTTGTCATGAGCAGGGAGGAATCCCTTCCTTGTGGTATAGCTCTGCACAGTTAGGCATGTTCAGCGTTTCTTTGAAGAATCCGGTGTCAGAGACAGAGCGTTGGATTCATTGTGGCAGTGGGCTCCTCTGTGGCAGGTCCTCCCTGAGGGGTGTACACATTGAAGGGTCCTACTGACATCCTAAAAGTGAAGCTTGGAGCTATGATAACTGTGGTGCCTGCTATCCCTGAGCTGTGTTAGGTTTACTTGAAGGAGGGTTACTGGATTGGGAAGAGGGAAAAAATACCACTCTGGTTGTTTGGGGTTTTTTTTCTAAAATTGCATTCAGAAGACCTTGTCTCTGAGGCCCATGTCCCCTACTGTTTCAATAGCAGGCTTCTTGACCATCAGGGTGTTTGCCAGAGGTAGGTCTTTGAGAGGTGGTGTTGGAATCCTTTTGTTGCCACCAGGCCTGTATGGAAGGCTGATTTGTGTACCTTCGGTAGTGGGCTTTGTACGTTGACAAATAAGTACAATGTTCCTTTCCATCCTAGGACTATTTTTTGGTAACAGTTAAGTCTGTTGTTAGAAGATGGCTGTTCTAGGGAGAGCTTTTTTGGAGTGTGACTTAGGGTGATTTTGCGATGGCTGATAAACCCCCAATTGTTGGAGAGAATGAATAGGATTTTGACATCCTTGTTAGTTCTGCTAGATGGGTAGAAAGGGAATAAGGACAGTGATTTTTGGATAGATTATAGGGGAGATAAGTGTGAATGAGAGAAAATGAGGTAAGGAAAGCAAAACATGTACAAAAGCAGTCACTGTGTTTACTTGAATACAAGACAAGGTTTTTTCCCCCCAGTTAGCATGGGGGAAAAAAGCCCTTCGTCTTATAATCACATAAAAGGAAATCTCACTAAATACATTGTCTCTCATTAAACTGCTGCCAAAAGCAGCATGTGGTCAGCAATGGAAACCAACTATGAAGTTAATTTAATTGGCAAACATGTTGATGGGGATCTACTATAGAATAAGTTAGTGTAGCCCATCTGGATAAGACATATGGTACTGCCTGTTAAGCATAGTCTCCCTTACCACCGACTCAAGTCATGGTGATCATGACATTGCATACAATTCACCCAAAATCTCTCTGTTGCCCCCTCTGTCAGCCTATCACATGTGATTAGTGTGGCCCTGTCCTCGATGGGGTGAAGCTGGATGAGGTTGCCCTTCGCCTTATCTGTATATTAATTTTTGGAGCATCCTAGGACTTGTGACAAGATCACTCATTTCCAGTCATGAGTGGGGACTAATTAGCACATGGGTCCTTTTTGTGGGTTTTTTTGGAGTATACACATATACTGAGCAATGCTGAGCTGTGGGGTCACCATGGCTTGAAATGATTTGATTCTGGTGGGGGCCAGCCAAATGAACTTTGTGATAAATTGCAAGCCTTTGGCTTTGGACGTATATAAGTAGACTCCTTCCTAGCTTGCTCCTGCAGCCACGTGGCTGAGGGCAAGCAAAACTCGGGAGCATCCAAACCCTAAGTCTGGGCTTGGTTCTGTATGTTGGATGCCTGTCAGAGGATTTGGGAGTATCTGAAACCCCAGGTGGGGGTGGAGGATGCTTGCTGGTAGCAGGACCACATATGGTTCTTTAATGAATCACATGGATTTGGAATAGATTTGTCTTGGGACATGAAACATTTTCTATTAAAAAAAAAAAAAAAGGGGTCAAAGTGCTGTGCGAAATTGTGTTTGTGAAGTACCTGTGCTAAAACTTTGCAGTTCCAAAAAAGGGTAACGTATCAATTCTGGATGAACTAAGTGCAAGGGTACTATATGCAAATTGCTACAGCCATGTTTAATTTCAAGGTTATTGTTTTCAAATTTGCTCCTTGCTTCCATGTGCTCAGGGAGAGCAGGTTCTGACAGTAAGGAAAGGGGGAAAGGGCTGCCAGAGGAAAAGATGGGGGGGAAGTAGAAAGCAAAGGGCTACCTGACCCCCTAGACTTATTTTTCCTGCTGTAGCAGTAAGAGGACAGAATTAAAGGCAAAACTCCAATAATTAGATTCTATACCTGGAACATGATGATAAATTTATAAATTTTCCACATATAGAATTTAATTAATGAGGAGGTCATTTTATGATTAAGTAAATATGGTAATCCCATCTCTCTGGAAGCTGGACCAGGATTCCTGACTTGCTATGCACAGGCCACTGTGGGTGGTCAGAAGGTGACAGTAACATTTTGATCCCTGTCAGCTTGAGGCTGCATTGCAACAGGTGATCTAGGGAGGAGTTCTGTTTCCCATTCCCAGTCCCCACTGGCCACCTGGCTTTACTTTATCGATACTCTGGGTTTGATGTATCACTGATCCCATTCACTGTCTTCTTCTCTTCAGATCTATATGCATCTGCGCTGCTACAGCTGCCCTAATGAGCAGCGCTATATTGTCCGGATCCTTTTCATTGTGCCCATTTATGCCTTCGACTCCTGGCTCAGCCTCCTGTTCTTCACCAATGACCAGTACTATGTTTACTTTGGTACTGTGCGGGACTGCTATGAAGGTAAGGAGAGGTGACCCGGGAAGTTGGCCTCATGTGGGTTTTGCTATTTACAAGCTGGAAGGCAAGGGCTGGTACTACAAGTAGACAGGAAGTGCGGAGGATAGTGGCTTCATCAGAGGGCTAGGATTGGCAGTGATGGCCCCAAACTGTATAGGAATGGCAGATTTCAGTATAAGGGAACATCTTCCCTCATAACAGGCTTCCATAAGAGTGTCAGGACATATTGTGACTCCTCTAAGGATGCTGCTTAGAGACAAAGCTTAGGAAGATATTTTCTGCTGTTTCAGCCCTGGATTCATCATTTCAGAGGAGGCATACAAGGGTCTGACTAGGGCTGTGCAAAGCTTCGGTCCCTGATTCGATTTGGCGGAGATTTAGTCCGATTCGGTGACTGAATCTGAATCGAATCAGAGGACCCTTTAATCTCTCTGAATCGATTCGGACATAGACACAGCTTTAAATGTTTTTTCTACATACCTCTAGGTAGTAGGTGGCTCATGAATGCTGTGATGTTGGGGCACGTGAAGTGTCCCGCAGAAGTGTAGGGGGCTCCCCAGCGTGCTTGGCAGTAGACCTGAAAGTGGAGCAGAAGCACTTCTGGTCCACTTCCGGGTCCACTGGGGAGCGTACTGGAGGCCGGCCGCCCCCCCGCCCTCCCCCAGCTCAGCGGCTGGGGCCTCCTCGGGCCGGGGGGGGAGCCGGCTGGGGGGGCCCGGGGGGGGGGGGGGCGCTCCCCTGCGCACTCTTCGGCAGACCCAGAATTGGACTAGAAATATTTCTGGTCCACTTACAGGTTCACCACCGAGCACGTGAAGGGGCCCCCCCCTCCTGTAGGATGCTTCATGCATCCCAGCATCGCAGCGATCACAAGCCACGCTGGTATCTTGAGGTATGGAGAAAAAACTTTTTAAACTCTGTCTATGTCCGAATCGCTGATTCTCCGAATCGGCATTGAATCTTCAGATTTGGATTCAGCTGAATCGAATCTGGGACAGTGATCCGAATCAGCAAATGGAATCACTGTCCCTGATTCAATCCGAATCGAATAGGGCCCACTCCACACACCTCTAAGTCTGACTGCCTGTGAAGGTTGAAGCTCTCAAAATGTAAGGTTCTAGCCCCAGGGTCTTGGGCAGATTTCAGAATGGCTAATTATATTGTGCCCTTCCTAAAACTCCCTGGGTAGTTTCCTTTGGCAAATTTATTCTTCTCTTTCCATCCTGTGACTGTTTGCAAGGTGTCATTGGCAAAGAAGGCTGTCATGCGGTCACTGTGCTTCAGTGCCGTGTCACTGTGAAGTGCCTGTCATCTTTGTAAAATGCCTTGCAATGCTATTTATTGCACTTTCCTAAGGATGTGACTTGCCCATCAAAAGATGACAACAGTTTTGGGGTTACATGTGAGAGAAACAACCAGTCTCCAAAATAAATGCATTAGCTAAGCCTCCCTTCTGATCTCATTCAGAAAGGGAGCCTTCTACCCAAGCTTGGCAGTCTGTGTCTTCCTGGAGTAGTTTCATTTTGCTGCTGGTTTTGTGTGTGCATCCCAACTAAATTGCACCTTGTTTAGAGGGTTGGTTATTACTGAGATCTGCATTGCAGAGGGAAGCCCTGGGTGTGTGGACAAATTAATCTGCTTGAGGGACCAGCAGGCCTCCTCATGCCTATGACACTGCATTGAGACACAATAACAGATGGCAGATGCACGCACGCATGCAATGCAGAGGCCATCTTTATTCAGGATTTTTTGTTTTTTTTCTCTCACTCCTCTGTGTGTGCGCGCATATATGCGTGCATGTGTATGTATGTGCACACGCACACATGCCTAGCAGGGAGCCTGCTGCTCTGTGAAACTCATTGCCTAGCAACAGCTATTATCCCCTCCACCTTGCCTAGGGAGTTTGCAAACATCACAGCATCTGCTCAGGAGGCAACCCGCTTTTCTAAAGTTCACCAGCTTGTTCACTTTTGCAATGAATAGACAACAAGTGGGAGGAAAAAAATCCTCTATGAACAGCTTCAAAACTATACTAATGACAAACAGGCAATAAACAGACATCTCCCTTCTCTTCCCCCTCCCCCCCATCCTTTTCTTCTCCTTCAAGGAAGAATTTTTACTCTTGATAGAGGGCTGTACTGGGAGGGAAGCATATTTTTTATTATTCGTTGCTGTCATACAAATTGAAATCTGTGTTGTGACAGACAAGGGCTTCTCTTTGTGGCAGACATTTTTGGGCTGTAGCAGTGAATACATTTTTTTTGGTTCTGCTCTCTACCCTGATGCTACAGCTATAAACACCTGATGCCAAAGTGAATGACACAAGTGGTTTCTTTCTTTCTGTCTTTTGTGATGATGTCACAAATGCCTTGGATGAATCTGGGCTGGAAGGGGAAGATCTGATCTAGTGCAACTGTCTTTGATAATATCACTTTGTTTCTTTTGGGTTGAGTGCGGGCAGATGTCCTCGTTCTTTTTTGTGTTGATTTTGTCTCATTCCCATCACTTTTGGATGGACAACTGGCATTGCAAGGAACACATTAGAGGGGGTGGAGGAGCTGCTGGAGAGCAAGTGTAGCTTCTTACCTCGTAGGGGTTGGAAGCTGTCTCTTTTGAGTCAAAGGGCCAAATCCTAGTCCACCTATTAGATCTATAAGTAGATTTAGCTGTCTTAAGTGCAGTTTTATTTTACCCTGCTCAAGTTCCTGAAAAAACAGTTCATGCATAAAGTAGGTGAATTGTAAGGGTGAGATGGCCATGTTTTACAAAAGTAGATGCTTTAATGGATTTTTGGGACATACATAAATGGATGAACAGATGGAATAAATCATGCTTAGGTGCCTAAGTCTACTTAGACACCTTTATAGGTGGAATAGAACCTAGCCCTAAGTTGCAACATGGGTAACTGCAGACCAGGTATTTATTAAAATACAAAAACAAAACAAACAACAACATTAGAAAGTATATTCTGCATTCTGCTTTGTTGGTTTAAATTGATGTTTTCCCAGAATCCATTATGGTCCAAAAACAAGGGCTATAGGTGGAATAACATTCGTCTCAATTACATAAATGGAAGTGGATAGATGTTGACACTTCAAGTGCTGTACCATTCTCTTCAATTAAAGATATCTATCTGGCAGTGGTTGGACAGTAGAATTAACTTCATGTGCAAGTATATAGGGTGTATGTCAAGCAGCTTTTTTTGGTAAGCTCACAGCTTGTTTGTTTCAGTTTGTGGACACTTTCCCAAGGAGGATTAACTTTCTTGTGGTCCAGCTTCTTTCAGAGGGTTGGGTTCTCGGCCTTGTGTGCTGGATATTGTTTTTTTTTTTTCATCGGGAAGTTTCCCTGGTATGTCTCTCTTGAATTTAATAATGTTTTTTCATTGTATTATGGACGTACCAACACACTTCAATCCATTTGGGGATCACAAGATAACTGGTGTGGTTTGTTCACACCAGTTTTTGAATAAACAGGGAAATTCTCTCCTCAAAAGAGCTCATAGTTCAGCTTACCTCAGGATGCAGCAGGAGGCATCATGTTGACCAGAAAAATGGTCGTGAGAGCCTGTGGGGATTATAGGCTAGCCATGTGCATGACTAAAGGGTTTTGAACCCTTGGGAAACTTTATAAACAGAATGAAAGTTCCTACCAACCTTTCATCTGGCTATTATCAGTTGCCTGTTTACTGGATGCTTCAACAGAATGGGTCATGAAGAGAGAAACCTGAAGGAGGACTAGGTGTTCGCTGGTTTGTGGAGGGCATTGCTCATACAGGATGTTGCAGAAGAGAAAAAAAATGCTTCCCTTAGGGAAGGCACACTGGAAGGTGATGAGGGGCACTTCTTCAGGCACCCAGTTAGTGAAAAATGCTACAGCTTTTTGAAGAATAATAAACCAGACTGCAAAATGTAACGATCTCCATAAAGCACAGGAACAAAGCTTCCCTCCACAGGTTACCCTTTCTTTTTTCTCAGTCTCGCTGTAGAGGCAATGTGTCTGCACTGGAGAGACTGCACTCATCAGGTCTCAAGCTAAGTAGTGTTGAGTTTGAGTTTTGCTTGTATTGAAGACCTTAAAGTAAATGCAGGGTACACAAAGATGTCAGGTGGATGATTCATTAGTGAGGCTTTTTCACCTGTGTTTGTTCTAGTTTATTGCCCCACAGTGAGACTCAGGAGCTCTGTGTCTGTGGAAGTGGTATCTGATGGATATAATGTGAAGTGGAGACTGTGGTCAGAGTGGTTTTTGTTAAAGTCCCATGACACTTTTTGCAGAAGTAGAACCATTAGTCCTAGTGCCCTAGCCAAATGCTGAGTTGGTTCGTCACGTAACTGCTGAGGTAGGAGGATGAGCGAACTGTAGGAAAACAATCTGGGATGCTTCAGGATGACAGATGCTGCACAGACAGTGGTTTCTGATGTTTTGTTCATAGCCTGCACAGCAGCTTCTTGCCTCTTTTTAACCAGATCAGAATCATGATAAACTTCAATGTCTTCACAGCCTTTGTGATCTACAACTTCCTCAGTCTCTGCTATGAGTACCTTGGTGGGGAGAGCTCCATCATGTCTGAGATCAGAGGGAAATCAATTGAGTGAGTACCTGGAGTCTACCTACAGCATGCATCTCTTTCCCACCTTTCTTTGCAGGCAGCCCCTGTATCACAGGCTTCATCTTACACCTGCCACTGAGAACTTTGTGGTGGAGCAAATGTATGGTGAACAGGCTGATGCTATCTGGATCATTAAGCACACAACTGAAAATGTGCACCTGCATCATTGCACGTTAACAGAATTGAATTATAGTTTCCTGTTCACCTAGCTTCCCTGGAGTTTCTTCTCTCCATGGCCCCGCTGCCCTCCCCCCACCCCAGATCATCCTTAAATCTTTCTTTTCCTCAGTCAATACTAACTGCAGCTGCCTTTTCACATTTTCTAGTAACATTTTTCCTCCTCTTTCTAGTCAACAACTGCCCTCCCACAAATTGGGTTTGGAAGGGGGGGGATCAGAGTGTCACTTCAAATGCAAAACATGCCTCTCTGAAGGAGACCATGCTGGCTATCAGTATAGCCATGATTTACTTGGCCTGTGAAAAGCAAGAATCTTAGATTCTTGGTAGGACAGTGGAGGAGCAAGGGCCTGCATCCTTTATCTTACCCTAAATAACCCTGCTGTTTTGCTTTTTCAGATCCAGCTGCATGTATGGGACTTGCTGCCTGTGGGGAAAGACGTATTCCATTGGGTTCCTGAGATTCTGCAAACAGGTACAAGTCCTAGGAAACTCTGATTCTCTGTACACAGCCCAGAAGGAACAGCACCTACCCCATAGAGCTGCTGAGATGAGCACTTCTTTAGACCCTCCTCTTTTAAGGGGATTGTAAGGTGCCTCTGGGAGAGACACATGGGTAGCGGGAATAAATCAGTCTGTTGTGGTAACATTTAAAGATTACATTTCTCTACCCAGCCAAAACTGGAAAGACCCAGTAAGAGAAGAGGCCTGTCCTCTCTACAGGATATGATCTCAATGCTAGGACTTGATGCTTGTTTCCTTCTTGCTCCTGGAATGGCGAGGTCCCAGTTCCTCTACAAGAATGTAGTGTCTGCTTGGGTTGCAGACATCCTGAGTTGTGTAAGCATCCCTTGAGTTCCCAGCTATGCTGCTGTGGTTAGGAGAGGGATTGTCATGACAGAGCACTTGTAGAGGAACTTTCCTCCAGAATATTGCTCACCATTTCTGGTCTGTAGTCTGGAATGGGAGTCAGAAAAAAAGAGAGAGTGAAATGATGATGTACCCATTATAGTCAGGCTTGGGGTCTATGAGGCCATTGCTTCTGGCCACCACAAGGTAGCAGTAAAGTTGAAGGGTATTGCTGAGCTGCTGAAATTTAATGTGATGTAATTCTCTGTAGACACCATAGAACTGGTATGGTCAGATTGGGCTATTGTAGTTGTTCCCCAGAGAGGGCTGAATTCCATTTTTAGTTATTGTCTGCGTTTCTTAAATGTGTCTTCCTTCCTTATCCTTTTTTACTTGTCTCTCCTGCCTTTGTGGATCTCTTCCTTTCTTTCCCCATGTATTTCCTTCTTGATCTGGGCTTACTTCTGCCCCATTCTCCACTCCATCTGTTAGAGTTGTGAGGAATGGAACAGCTAATGTTGACATTTGAAGTGCCATTGAGGTAACAGCCCAGTGAGATTAACTGGGGGAAAGGGGATTCTCTCCTCTTAGAACTGTTGTTTCAGGCTCTCATCAGTGTCAGGCAGACATCACTGTGTAAGTTGGGCTTATTTTGTATTGGGAATGGCTTTGTACAGTGATGAGGACAGGAAGCTTACATGAAAGCAGGGAGTCTGGACATGCTATGTACACTATGCAGTCTCCATAAATATGCAGCCCATCCCCACTACTTGATAATTCTGGTGTAGATGGATGCTTTCCTATGTTCTCTCACTTCCTTGCATCACAGTAAGCAGCTTGTCCAGATGAGACTGCCCCTTCCAGCTCCCTACACTGCTCTCTAATTTGTTAAACTGTGAGTGTTGCAGAGGAATATGATCACTTTCTGCCTGCTCCATGGAATTCGGGCTGAGAGCAGCTCAGGTGGGAGTGTACACCTAGAGCCTCCAGCCCTGGTGAGCAAGAAAACTTCCAGGGCAGCTTCCCGCATGTTAAACTAAGTGTTAATTATTGCTGTGATAATCAGCAGAGGAAAACCCGGTTGAAGGAAGCACTTTGCCTGGTCTTGTTCCCACTCTGAGCCTCTCAGCTGTTCTCAGCCCTATCTGCGCTGAAGGTATCTTCAGCACTATAGCTATTCCCATCTTATCCCTGTAATACTGAGTTGTTTTCAGATAGGCTTCTGCTTTCTGCAAATCAGTCATGTTTAGTTCAGACAGTTTCCTTAACGATTACTTTGCGTCAGTTTTCCATCAGCCCAAGGGGATCACCTCGCCTGACAGGATTCAGGATCACCAGGGAAAGA